AGGCGGCTCATCACCTCGCAGCAGGCACAAACAGCCCAGGTTCCTGCTTCTGTGTGGCCCAGAACAGCTGGCCATGGCACTTGAACACCTGTGAGTAAAGCAGATATATGTATGCCCGAACTCGGGGAGGCTGAGGCAGGATTGCCCTGATTCCAGGGCAGCTGGAAGCCTGTTCTGTCAGCTAATCACCGCTCCCCATCATGCTATTCAGCAGACACATGGGACCTGGGTATTCCAGCTGTGGAAAGTCGTGTACGTGGAACCTGTCCTCAAGTCCAGGGGCTCTGAGTCCTTGAGTCTTAGGGATAATGAGGACATTCTCTCACCACTCAGGCAAGGGCCAGTGCTCTGTCCTGCGCCCTCCTATTCTCCCCTTACCTTTCCTGGCCCTCCAGGGTGTAGTGGGCACCAGGAGAGTGACCACAGCCACTTCCATGAGAAGACACACCTGGTGTGAGATCAGGCAATCTTTTTTTAAAAAAAAAATTATTTATTTATTTATTATGTATACAATATTCTGTCTGTGTGTATGTCTTCAGGCCAGAAGAGGGCACCAGACCTCTTTACAGATGGTTGTGAGCCACCACGTGGTTGCTGGGAATTGAACTCAGGACCTCTGGAAGATCAGGCAAAGCTCTTAACCACTGAGCAATCTCTCCAGCCCAAGATCAGGCAGTCTTGAACTTAGCTACTGAGGCTACTGGGGACTGGTCCAGGTTCCTTCTCAGTCCCCAGAGTGGCTCAGCCAACCGTGCCTGCCAGCATGGGACTGCCTGCTCTCCCAGCCTGGATCAGTGTTAACCGTGAGTGTCAATGCAGACATGGATGGAGAAACCCCAAATGTGTGCCATTGGGAAGCTGCTGGTTCTGCTGTGGCCCCAAAGTGTCAGCCCACCAAGGACAACTGGTTTCCTCCTTGCCTCTTGGTTTTAGTAGGGATGACAAGATGCCTAGCCAAGTGTCCCCAGAGTATCATGGAACAGACAACACCTCCAAGTTCTCCAAATCAGGAACCAGTCTCTGTCAAATCAGCTTTCTAGGGACCCTGTTTGAGGTTTCAGCCTGAACCAAGTGCACAGGGCCCTTTCAAGTGAACTTCGTGCCATTTCTCAAGGGAAATGGAGCTCAGAGGATTCATGATTTAATTCGGGACAGGAAAGCAATTCATAAGAAAGTGTTTGGAGCCAGCACTTGGGAGGCAGAGGCAGGTGGAACTCTGTGAGTTCAAGGCCCAGCCTGGTCTATAAGAGTGAGTTCCAGGACAGGCTTCAAAGCTACAGAGAAACCCTGTCTCGAAGGGGAAAAAAAAAAAGGAGAAAGAAAGAAAGAAAGTGTTCGGATGCTGCATGAGAAGTCTGGGGTCCCCAACCACTTTTCTTGATGCAACAGCACGCTGTGGGTCATGTTTTAAGTTATTGTTTGGATTTTATTATGTATACATGCGTGTTTTGTATGTGAGCTACAGATGTGCCCACAGAGTTCAGAAGAGGGCATTGGGCCCTCTGGAATTGCAGTCACAGATGGTTGGTTGTGAGCCACCACGTGGGCACGGAGACCCAAACCCAGGTCTTCTGGACGAGCAACTCGTGCTCCACAACCACCGAGCCCTCGCCACAGTCCTGAGGCTGCCTTTCTACTGGTGTGCGTGCAGCATCTACAGAGAGCTTAATGCAAGAGTGAGCCGCACGAAGCCCTGTCCATAAGGGGGTGCTGAGCGTGGTAGCGCTAACCCCAGCACTCCAGCCTTGGTTTTGATGTGTGATCTCCCTTTTCATCAGATCCTGAGCTACAGTCAGTGACAACAGTGACTCCAATGGCTGCAGACAGACTTCGCGGGGGGGGGGGGGGGGGGGGGCCGGCCTCCCTCAGAGCTCCAGTGGAGGGCGGTGTTAGGCTTGGGGTGGGGCGACACTGAGATAGATTCACGGGGAGCCCCACGATGGATGACTGTAGAGGAGGGGCTGGGCCAGAAGGGCTCTAACATCATGGACAGGCGACAACATGGCGGTGTGTCCGAAGAACGGCATGGGGGACATGTAGCAGAAGCGGGAATCTATTCTTGCACTTCCTGAAGATGGGGGAAGTTGCACAGCAGGAGGCTGCAGTGTGGCTCGCTGATTCCCAGGCAGGGACAAGTGTGGTTTCGATGTGAACTCAGTTCCCCAGTGAGAAGTCCTGATACCTGGGATTGCCTGTTGGCTAGGGTCTCCTGCAGACAGTGGCTCCGTCAGGTTTCTGCAGAGTCTGTGAAAAGAGCCTGCTGCAAAGAGCGGGCTGCGCAAACTGGATTCTACCGTTATGTTCTTAGCGGCACCAACTAAGTCCAGGGACCATGGCTCTCCTTCCTGGAGGGCACACGGGCTGCAGAGCCCCAGGACACTTCAGAGAGCCATCCGAGCTTCTCGTTTGTGTGCTGGGTCAGCAGGCAGCATCCCTAAGCCAAGACCAGGATCCTGGGGCTGGGAGTTGCTGAGATTATGCCCAGCAGACAGTGGGAGGTTGATGTTTCCTGCCTTCCCCAGCTCATCCATCTAACTGCTCCATTGCCCTGCCTGTTCCCTGGCTGGACCTTGGCCCTGGTGGTGCTGTGCTGCCCACGTGGCTGTGGGGTCAGAGGCAGGCCGGCCCCGGGCAGTTCTCAGTGCTGCATTTTATATAACACTTAGCCACACACACACACACACACACACACAGCCTCTGGGACCTAGGCCGTTGGCAGGGAGCTGCCCAGAGTCAGTCGGAGCTGGTAGCCAGGGCAACCAAGTTCCCCTTCTACTTCTAGGGCCCAAGTTAACCCCCAGGCTCTTTATCTTGTCTCCAGTGGGTTCTCGGGCACCCTCCCTCCAGTGACTCCTCAGGTTAGGAGCTCTCCAGATGAGGGAATACAGGGGGACTGTGGGGGAGGGAGGCAGAGGCTCCTGTGTGGGGGAGGGTGCCCTATGGTAGCCTCTGGAGTCCCCGATGTCCCTTCTCTGTAGACTGAGGAGGAAGTGCCCTTATTTGAGCAGATGTGGGTCTCCTTGACTGGACTGTGGGTGTGGGGTTCCCAGGGCAGAGGGAGTGCTTCTGTTTGTGATATCTTGTTACTGTCCTGGGGGTGGGACCAATGAGAGAACCTGGGATCGTGGAGAGCTCGCCCTTCCTGGAAAAGCTCGGGTCGTTTACTTAAGTTCCTCACCATGTCCCCACGCCCTTTCCGGGCTGCTAGCTACATCTGAGTCAATATTAGTTACGCTTTTTCTAGGAAAGACAAAGTGGACTAACTTCGCTGGAACTGCTGAACGGCTGCAGTGCCATCCTTGGGCTTCCTAAGGGAAGTGGGGGAAGGCAGGGCTGGCATGGGCTTCCTCGGCGAGATGTCGACAGAAGTAGTGCTTCGTGAGGTCGGCACCCCACCACAGCGGAGCTCCCACCGTGTGGCCCTTCACTGAGAGGTGTCCCTAGCAATGGAGCTCATGTCAGCCCCCACCTGGGTCTTCAGGACAGCCTGGAGCCAGCGGCCAGGGACTTGCCAGAAAAGAACAGGCGAGGTTTCCATGAGACTGCTGCCCTCTGGTGGCTGCTGTGGTCACTGCACAGGGCTCGGGAAACTGAATAAATGGGACTTGTGCTCAGTGCACTTGACACCTGTTGGGTGCATCCGGCACCTGAGCTGAACTCTCCCATATATGTCTGTCTCTGAAGCCTCTTGTGAACTGTGGATAGAAAGGGTGGGCTGGTAGCGTACTGTCCAGGGGTCCCATCCACGCCCGGCTTGACAGCCTGTCATTGACTTTCAGGTGCTGGAGGCCAGCGCAGAACTGTCCCCCGAGGAGAGGAGGGTCTTGGAAAGGAAACTGAAGAAGGAACGGAAAAAGGAAGAGAAAAAGCGGCTGCGAGAGGCAGGCATTGCTGCAGCTCAGACAGCCAAGGGCCAGACCCTGCCAGCCAAGCCCTCAGCTGCCGTTCTGGCCCTGGAGTACCTCCAAGGGTAAGCACTGCTGTGGGCTGAATCCAGAACATTCTGCCGCTGCTATGGTTCTGGGTAGAGGTCCACTGTGGTGGGTGGAGAATGTCACCCTTTGACTGGTGTTGGGGAGGCCCCTGTCTATTCTGTATCCACATAACTGCCCTCAGGCACATCCCCTCTATGGCCACTGTGTGCCCAGCCTGCAGACACACCACCATCTTGGCTGGGCACTGAAAACAGGTATTCTGGGAGGCAGGGAGGCCATGTCCCTGAACCACAGTGTGTTGTAGATTGTGACAGCCCCACAGATAGGAATCTTCCCAGGTGTTTTGTTTGGTTTGTAAGATTAATTTTATCTTCAATTCCTTGAGTGTGTCAGGAATTCCTGGAGCTGGAGTTCCAGGCAGGAGAGCGTTCCTATCCTTTTTCCTTTGCTCCTGGGCTGTCATTCCAGCCTTCTCCCAGGTGGGCTTGCTAAGCCACGACGTCTGCCTATAGGAACAAGGGTGTCGTGGTGGAGAAGGGCGACACAGCTAGTCACGTCGTGTCCACGTGTGACAGAAAGCAGAGAAGTGAATGCTGGCGCTTCCTCCTTTCTACTCGCTCAGCCCAGAGCCCCAGCCCGTAGGACAGCGCCGCTCACACTCAGGGCAGGTCTTCCTGCCTCAGTTAACCCCGTCTAGACACTCCCTCACAGATGTGCCTAGAGGTTTGTCTCCTGTGCAGTTCCAGGCCAGCCTGGTCTACAAAATGAGTTCCAGGACAGCCAGAGCTGCACAGAGAAAGCCTGTCTCGAAAAACCAGAGAGAGACTGTTGTAGCCTCCATGCATGTGTGCGCACATGTGCACGCACATACACACACACACTTACAAACATGCATGCATACACACATGAAATGCAAATGAAAAAAATTGAGCTGAGTGTGCTGTCACACATTCTGTAATCCCAGCTCTTAAGAGGCTGAGGCAAGGGATGACCCTGGCTACATAGTGAGTTTGAGGCTAGCGTGGCTATTTAAGGCTCTCTCAAAAAACAACAGCAAAGAATTGATGAGTTCAAGAAATTTAGAATGCTCCCTTTAAAGTCATAAAATAACAGGATCATAGAGTTGGAAATTGACCCTGTATCCCTGTGGTTACAAATATAGGTTACCCGAGATGGAGTAAGAGACCCCCATGGTAGACATGCTGAGGGTGCACATCCCCCTGAGCCAGGCTCCGCTACCACGAGCTTGCAGGTGATCTGGTCTCAGAGCCCCTGGGACCATCCTCCATATCCTAAGTGTCTGTCTTTGTTCCCAGGTGGGCCCGGAAGCAGGAGAGCTGGAGATTCCAGAAGACAAGGCAGACGTGGCTCTTGCTGAACATGTATGACGAGGACAAGGTCGGTGCGCAGTAGACGGACCAAGGTGGGGCCCTTCATGGGCAGTAGGACATTCATGTGACAGGGTCCACAGGGCCCTGAATGGACAATGGGCCCTTGGATGACAGGGTCTATGCGCAGGTGCCCATCTAAGCAAGGTTCCTGCATGCAGGTGAGCACCTGACCAGGACACCTGCGTAGGGGCTGGGTCTTCCAGGTGCCACGACCTATGCATGGCATGCTGGCACATAGATGGGGTCCTTGCACAGAGGGTAGCCCACCTAAGTGACCGGATCCATATACAGCAAACAGGATCCAGGTGAGGGACTCCGCACATTCAGGTCACATGGTCTCCGATGGCAGAGGTGCAGCCTGGGAGGGCTGTCCTTGTGGTCCCATACAATGGTGTGTCATCTTCTCTCACCCCTCCACCCCTGTTTGCCAGGACCCTAAATCCCTTCCTTGTCCTCTGTGCCACCTGCATGTGCAAGAGTGTGGGTGTGCCGGGCTCCTCTCAAGGCGGGATCTGGTTCCTTGGGGAGAGATGGAATTTGGAAGTAGAACCCCACAGCTAAGTTAGGGGACTGGAGCTGCCCTGTCGGTGCTGAACTCCCATAAGCCCTCTGTCCTGCAGGATTCTCCTACCCCTGCCCAAGGGCCGCACCACTTCTTCCCCCAAGGCTGCTCCCTTGAGTGTCTGTCTGTCATACAGGGTGAAAGATGCTCCATGTGTGCCTCTTAGGGTGCTGGGGGCCCATATCTGGAGGCGTCAAGTGAGGGCTGTGCCTGTCAACCCCACCCACCTACCATCAACCCCACCCACTTTCAGACACAGGCCTGCACCCGCTGTGTGGGTCTCCCCTCTGTATGATGTCTTCACGTGGACATACTGAAAATAAATGATCTTGAAATAGAAACAAAGTCAAAAGCTGCGGCTAGGGCTCGGTGGGTGGAGTGCCTGCCTAGTGGGCACAAGATCTTGGGTTCCGTCCCCAGCCCAGCACAAACTGGGTGTGAAGGTGCACACTTGGAACCACAGCACTGCTGTGGGAGAGGGAGGGAGAAAGAGGAGGAGTTTGGGGTCACCCTTGGCCAGCCTGAGCCAAGAAAAAGTTTCTAAAATTTATATAGGGAATGCCTGAAGCACAGGAGGGTCATGCCGGCACACTGGCCTCTTTTCCATCATGTCCCCCTCTTGGCCTGACAAAGTAGCAGCAGGGTGGTCGCGGGGAGGGGTCACTTGCACACAGCTCTGCTGGAGACCCCATCGTGAGGACAGTGTAAGCTGGACGCCTAGGCCGGCACGGGGAGGAACCCTGGTCCCTGCCACTGCTCAGGATCCCCATGCCCCGGCCCTCAGCACTGTCCTCTTTCCCCCCAGATCCCTGACGAGCACTTCTCTACCCTGCTGGACTACCTCGAGGGCCTGAAGGGCAGTGCCCGTGAGCTGACAGTCCAGAAGGCCGAGGCCCTGATGCGGGAGCTCGATGAGGCTGACACCGAGGCCCGAGATGCGCAGCTGGGGAAGATGGAGCGCCTCCGGCAGGTGCTGCAGCTGCTCTCCTAACAGGAGGAGGCGGCCTTGGGTCCCGAGGACACGCTGGCTACCTCCTCCGAGGCTGTGGGAGCAAGCAGGTTACCGGAAGGTCATGTGCCTTGAGGACTTCCTTCCAAAGTCCCAGGAAGGACCCACACATACACACACCCCTATACACAGTCCTGGTGCCTTGAGAGTTGAGCATGGTCTCCCAGAAACAGCTCCCAGGTGCCACTCCCACGTGTGTGGCCCCAAAGTGGCTGTGAACAGATTCTATGAATGAAATCTCAGAGACTGGCCCATGCCGGCTTTCCCCATCAGCCAGGGTTCCCGATGGTGTGGAGATGGTGGATCTCCTACATACTCAATCTGAGGGCCACGGCAGTACAGCCTAACAACTCACCTGCCTACAGGAAAGCCCTGCCGGGGACTTGGAGTGAGGATCCTGGACCTGCCGCCAGGAGCTACTAGAGGCTGCTGCCCCTTGACCCCGACTGGCTTTCAGCAACCACGTGTTGTCCCTCAGTGTCAGGAGCTAGGTCCAGTTCCTTCTCACTGGGTTGTCTCAGCCCGCGTGTTGGAAGCAGAATGACTAAGCATTTGTGTCTGGACCCGTGTCACCGTCAGCGCACATAACCGACTCTCATTGGGTGAATTTCCTGGGGACCATAAAGAAACATCCATAGATGCCATGTAGGGCACTGACCGGCCAGAGAGGATGTGGTGCAAGTCCAACTCAGTGAGCATTGAGCTCACTGGGTTCTGTGTGGGAGCCATGCAGGGTCTGTCTTCGGCCTCCCGGGCCATCCAGCCCACAGCTTTCAGAGTCTCTCACTCAACCCCTGGGCATCAGAGTAACTTACACACCCCTGGGATAAAGCTATATAAAAGAGGTGTACAGATCACATATTATCTACTAGATCATAAGAAATTTATTTTAAAGCAATTCTGAATATATTTAATTTTGTCATTTACTAAAGATTAAAACAAGTTTGCAGCACAGCCCACAGATGTGCGACCTTGTTGCTGAGAACTGAGGGGGAGGACGGAAAATACTGAAAGCTTGTTTTCCATAAACTGTCTTAAACCCTGAGACTCTTTAATCCCCGCTCTCAGGAGGCAGAGGCAGGCAGATCTCTGAATTCGGGGCCAGCCTGGTCTACAGAGTTGAGTTTAGGACTGCCAGGACTGCACAGAAACCCTGTCTTGAAATACCAAAAGAAATAATTAAAGCCCTGAGACTGATAGCATCAGGTCGCGAGCCAGGGTGTTTCAGGTTGCAGATCATGCGGCAGGAGGGCATGCACAGTGTGTTCAGGTCTTGAGGCAGGAGGGTATACATGGTATGTTCAGGTCATGTGGCAGGAGGGTATGCACGGTGGTTCTGAACATGCATGTGTGCTCAGAACCAAGGCTACAGGGAAGTTGTGCTATGTGACACCAGGAAACAGGATTTGTTACATGTTTAACTGTTTGTTTATTTATTTTTGGTTTTTCTAACCAGAGTTTTTCTGTGTAGACCAGGCTGACCCCAAACTCACAGAGATCCACTTGCCTCTGCCTCCCGAGTGCTGGGATTAAAGGTGTGCGCCTCCAACCCCAGGCTACATATTTTACTTCTAATTTTTGATGGTTGCGGAGAAATGTCTGACTTGCCAGACATTTTTTTGCCCGAGTAGAGTTGCAGCCCACAGTTGAAGAGGCAGGAGGGAATGGTGGCTGGGATCTCAGGTGGGTCAGGTGACTCTCCCACACTGGTACCCTCCCTGCATGGAATGTTAACCAGCCCAATCTCTCAGGGGTCTCCTTTGGATGGTGACAGCTGCTCTGAATGATGCAAGGCCCAAGAGGACAGAGTTCCACCGCCCACTCCCAGCTCCAAGTGGACAGGACTTGCGTCACACTGAGGAGATAGATGGCCAACCAGAGCCAGTTGGGCTAAGGCCAGGCTGCCCTCAGCTGCCCTCGGCTGCCCAGAGGTCCAAGTGAGCCTGTGAGAGCAGCCGCGGTTCCGTTCAGATCCTTCTGCCACTAGAGGGCGATCCAGTCCCTAACGCCTTAAGCACATGGTCTCACTGCTCTCCTGCCTGGAAAAGATGCCACATGGCAGAAGAGAGGGTGCGCACTGGGGTAGCCCCCGGGCTGCAGACTCTACCAGGTCACTTGAGTGAAGTGTCCCTGAGCTGAGCTGTCCCTGGGTCTTGGGAAGGTGTTAGGATGGAACTGGGCAGTGGTGAAAAACACTGTTAATCCCAGCTCTCGGGAGGCAGAGGCAGGCAGATCTCTGAATGTGAGATCAGCCTGGTTCTCACAGTGAGTTTCAGAACAACCAGGGTTGCATAGAGAAACCCTATCTGGGAAAAAAAAAAAAAGTGGTAGGCTTGTATCACTTGGGCACAGTGGCAGAATTCTGCATTCATGTGGGAGAGAGGCAGCCGGCCAAAGTGTACACCTTTCCCTGGGTCATGGGTCTCAGGCAATCTGGCTATTTGTACTCAGACCCTATCTCACCTACAAAGCCCTGTCCCCAGCCTTGTCCTGCATCCATCAGACACTTCTGTCACTTAAGGTTTAGTTACTTTGAAGCCCTGGCTGGGTCTAGCATCAAGGCAGTGTGACATCAGAGCCCAAGGGGGACTCATTCCTGTCCCGTTCACCACCAATCACCAGACTGTTGGTGTCAGAAGGGACCCAAGTGTCACACGATCTGGGTCTTACATTTACCCCAGCTGGCTCTTCCCACTCCTGGTGGCATCGAGCCCTGCCCTTCCGCACTTGGGGAAGCCTTGCACTGTCTGTGGCTGTCTCAGGGGCTACAGGGATACTGCTGAAGAAGGCACTGCTGGAGTTGGCATGTTGTCACAACAGACACGCGCAGCTGGGTTATCAGTCTGCACGTTCTAAAGCCTTGAATGGGCACACAGAGAAACAAGGAATTCAAACAACAGCACAAAGAAGGGAGTAGCCAGGAGGATTAAGAGCCATGGGTCTCCCGGTAGCCAGGTCGAAAGGGAAACGTGGTAGGTCCCTCACTGTCAGTGAGACCTGGCTTTAGGAACCTGGGAGAGGGGTTCCCAGGAAATCAGCTGGGAGATGCTCTTTTCTGCCACATGTTCTTGCCCCAGGTCACCACAGAGTGTCAGTCTTCGCAGGAGAAGGGGACAGAAATGTCACCTGTGGTCAAGTTCAGGCATCCCCTGGGATCCCCTTGGTTCCGGTCAAAGGTGGAGCACCCCGAACTGTGACTGACAGGTTCTGCCTAGTTAGAGAGATAGGAGGGTACACTGGGAACTGTGAAAAGGGCTTTATACCAGGTATCTGAGTTTGGGGACCCCTATGGCCTTGTGCAGAGCTGGTATAACCAATGGTAGGCTCTGGTGGGGGAGGAGAACAATGAAGAAACTAAGGCCTAGTCCGTGCTCTGGGGATTTGATTGCCTCGGGAACCAGAGTGGAGAACAGTCTGTAGGGTTCTGAATGAAGGAGCCTGGAAGGTAGGTTTCTGGAGCACCATATCAAGCCAAGGTAGGGCTGCTGGGCTAAGCAGGAGACATATCTACACCCCCCATGCCCAGATGAAAGGCCAGCTTCCAACCTCCAGTGGTCAAACGTGGCAGCCTGGTCCCACTGTACACTGTGACGTAAAAGCTGTGGTACTCAGCTTGTGGTCCAGAGGGACATAGTAGGCACTGTCTGCCCATCATGCATTGGTAAGGACGCTTCAACCACACCATAGCCTGCAGTGTGCCCCGAGGGAGAGGCAGCGAGGCTCTGGCTGTGTGCAAGCACCCTAGGATCTAGGCACTGCACACAAGGTCTGTGCAGGTGGCCGCATGGTAAAGGCTGGGGCAGGCCGCAGATCCAGGTCTGCGGGGCTGAGGCCTGGTGGGGGCAGCAGATGGTACCGCTGGAGGAGGCCGGCAAACAGCAGGAAGAGCTCCGTCATGGCCAGGCTTTTTCCAACGCAGACCCGGCGGCCTGAAAGAGAAACCAAAGCACCGTGTAGGGTGCCAGGCCTGCTCCTGGAGGGGAGAGGGGCAAGCAAGAGCTAGTGAAGGCTGAGGGCCAGCAAGTTACCAGTGGAGAAAGGCAGGAAGGCGCCCCGCTTCACGAAACGCCCATCGGCATCCAGGAAGTGGTGTGGGTTGAACTGGCTTGGGGTCTCCCATTGCGTCTTGTCCAGGAGCACTGAGGTCAGCAGAGGGATCACAGGGGTGCCCTATAGGGTAGAGGGGTCCCAAGGTAGGCTGATCTGCTTGGAGGGAGGGGAAGGGGCAGAGCGCCACCTGGGGGAGTTCCTGCCTCCCACCTCCACCACCTGGACAAGTGAGTATGAGACCCAGGAAGTCCCCTGTCCACCCCGTCAGAGCAAAGAAGTAAGTAGGACGGCACCTTGGGAAGCAGGTAGCCCCCCAGTTGGATATCAGCAGTTGTGCAGCGGGGCACATGGGGCAGGAGTGTGATGTACCGCTGGGTCTCATGCAGCACTGCACTGGTGTAGGGCAGCGCTCGCTGGTCCTCCGGCCGGGGTAGCTGCCCGGGGCCCAGCACTCGGTCCAGCTCCTCCTGCACGCGGCCTAGGCCAGAGGGTGGTGTTGCATGAGTGACCCCTCCCTGCCCCCTCAGGGTTCCAACCCCCTTCCATAGGGTGACTCTCACCCTGCACATGTGGGTGCTTAACCATTAGGAAGACTGCCCACTGCAGTGTGGCTGCTGTGGTCTCTGTTCCAGCCATGACCATGTCCAGTGTGCAGGCCAGGACATTGGCCTCGCCAAACATGTCCTCAGGGTCATCCTCCTGCAGGGCAGATGGTTAGAAATGGACTTGAAGCTCTGGGGATCCAACCCCAACCTGTGGACACACCCCAGTCCTAGACCCCAGAGAATGAGGTAGAAGTCAGGTGGGTGGGGGCAGTGAACGGGCATTTACTAAGGGTCCACCCAGCCCCAGTGCCCATTCCAGGGACTTTGAGGAGCCAATCTCACAGAGGAGGAGACTGAGACTCCCAGAGGTCTCCAGCAGGTGGAAAAGAACCCTCAGTAGTTCCCTCCCCCGAGCTGGGGCCACTAAGCCCCTGACTGGTCTCTAGGAAAGTCCTGGCCTGTCCACACCTGGCCCTGCTGGAGCAGAGCCTCCATGTAACTCCGCATGGGGCCGTCACTTGGTAAGGGTGGTCTCCGTGCCTCCAGCAGAGTTCTTAGGATGGCGCGCACCTCCTCGATCTTGCTCAAGACCGGCCTGTGCAACCGCAGCAGAGCCCCCAGCCGGGGGAAGGTGTTGAATAGCTGAGAGTGGAAGGGACAGTGGAGTGGGGTAGAGGTGAGGTGATGAATTCAGTCTCTGTGAGCAAGCCAATCCGTCTAGCAGCAGGTGCACCAGGCAATGCTGCCCTTGGCCACAAGAGGGCACCAGGCCAACAGTGCTGAAGGCTTACACCCTCCTGGAAGTCCAGGGGCCAGAAGGGAATCTCAGGGCATTCAGAAAGGAGCCAGGTGACCTGAGGTACTTGGATGGCTGTGCCAAGACCAAGAGTAATGACTGCTTAGGGACATGTTCCTTCTATCATCGCTGAAAGGGAAGGGCAGAGGAGGGATAGCTACCATGGGGAAGGAGTCACGGCTATGGGGGCTCATAGGTCTTGGGGAGGGGCAATTTGTAGCTTACAGCTACAGCCAGTAGGTATTCAGGATTCCAGCAGCCCCTACATTGGCAATTGCTGGTGGGAAATGGCACATATTACTCTAAAGTGATAGGGACCATCCCTACTGCCCGAGCTATCCAGGGGGACCCCACCTCTCCATCCCTCAGGGAGTGCTCTGAAGTTGAACTCACTGCTTGCTCTGACTGCACAGGTGGGATGCTAAGAGCATGCTCATCACAGTAACTGTTCTCCCTACCCCTTATGGAGCCCCATCCTGAGTCAGGGCCCAACTGTAAGGGCCGAGTGCTGGTTGCTGCGTGTCTTCTAGGATTCAGTTATCAGCATGGTGGCCCAAAGCCAGAACTCTTTAAACTTTAGGGCACTGGACATAGGAAAGGCTCATTTTCATGATTTCTGTGATGAGGAGTGTGTGGTCAAGAACATCGTTAGTTTCCAGTACTCAGGAGATAGAGACAAGTGGATCTCTGTGAGTTCGAAGCCAGCCTGACCTATATAGAGTTGCAGGACAGCCACAACTACTCAGAGAGACCCTCTCTCAAAAACTAAATAAAAGGGACTGGAGAGATAGTTCAGTGGTTAAGAGCATTGACTGCTCTTCTAGAGGACCCAGGTTCAATTCCCAGCACCCACATGGCAGCTCACAACTGTCTGTAACTCCAGTTCCAGGGGACCTGACGCCCTCACACCAATGCACATAAAGTTTAAATAAATAAGTGGTGCTTGGGTGTGGGGACCTCTGGTACATGGGTCCCACAATACTGTTAAGGCCTGCCAGAGAGCATAGGCTTGGTTCACATGCAAGACATGCCAACCAATGTCTGTCTTTGGCCAATGTCACCCAATGCTTTTTATTTTTGTTTTCTCTTTGGAAACAGGATCTCTGTAGCTTCAGTTGCCCTCAAACTCACTATGTAGTGGAAGATGACCTTGAATTTATGACCCTCCTGACGCCATCTCCAGAGTGCTGGGATGGCAGGTGTCTGGTGCTGGGCCTGAAACCCGGGGCTTTTGTGCACACTAGGCAAATGCTCTACTAGTGAAGCCACATTCCCTAGTCCCAGGGCTCCTTGTCCAAAGGGTGACAAAGCTGGCAGCTGGGCAAGGAGGGAAAGTGTTGGGTACCAACCAGCCCTGACCACACACACACACACCCTAGTTCAACAGGGGCTCAATTCCCTGTGGTGTGGTGGCCTCTCACCTGTATGCCAGGTGACCCCAACAGGACCATGACCTGGTCAATGAGACTCAGCAGGGATACAAACACAGGGTCCTGGTAGTCAAAGCGCTGGCCAAAGACGAGTCCGAAGGTGATGTTGCAGGGTGCCCAGCCCAGCAGGGCCAAGGGGAAGGGCTGGCCTGGAGGTCGGGGAGGAAAACAGGCCTCAGGTGGGCAGAGATCCCAGGGAAGGGCAGCCTGGTCCCCCACTCACCTCCATAGCTGTCCAGCTGCCTCTTAAGACAGGCCAGCTCCTGCAGCACCTTGTCCACCATGGGGGGCTGTCCCACCCCCAGGCTGTGCAGTGTCCTCACCGTGAATTGGCGAGCTGCCCTCCAGTGAGCTCCAGAGGAGAAGAAGATGCCTGTTGGGTAGACATGAACCGTGATGAGCCATGAGTCAGTCACTCCCCATCCTGATGATGCATGCAGGGAATAGGGGACCCAACTGGGGGGGGGGCCCAGGCTCAACTCCAGGCCCCTCCCATTCAGAGGCTACCGTTGGTCATACCTCTCTAGGCTTGCCATGGACTGATCCTGTTCCTCCCCAGCACCAGCCCAAGAGGCCAAGACACCCCCCCATCTGTCAGGACATCCCAGTGCCCACCTACCCCCGCCCTGCTGGATGAGCTGGAAGATGGGGATTGGGGGCCTGTCGGCCAGTTCATGCCTGGTCCCAACCAGGGCCTCCCTCACCACCTCGTAGCCTGACAACACCACAGTCTTCTGAGATCCCAGGTGGATTGTGAACACTGGCCCATAGCGTTCTGAGAGCTGGGAGGGACAGACAGACGTCAGAGAGGCAACCCCCACCTCCCCTCCAAGAGCTCGGATTAGCAGGACAACAGTATTGTGGACTTTCCAGCTGGAGGGGACCACCCCAAGAAACCCTTCAGTCTCCCCAGGAGCGGGTACTGTTCAGACTGCCATCTCCCCACTTCAAAGACAAAACAACAACAACAACAAAAACCCTGAAAATGAAAAAGCAGGAATTGAATTTGTACCTGTCTCACCAAGATCCATGTCTGGGCCTGCCCAATATCTGCTACCTAGAATCAAACCTGAAGTGGGACCTGAACCCCTGAACCTAGTGCCTGAAGCCACGTGGAGTCTAGCCTGATCCACCTGAGGAAAGGTGGGGACAGAGCCACTTCAAGTCAGGTCTGCAGGTGTGTGCACTTCTCGACAAACAAGAGTCCCCTGGACAAAGTTCAAGGACCTCCACCCCACTGAGTCTGTCAGTCCTGGTTAGAGGTAGTGCAACCAGCATACCTTCACCTCTGGGTCTGGGGAGAACCCATACTCCAGTGACACTCCCCCACCCCTCAAATAAGGTCACTGCCTAACGATCTGCAACCATACCCCATTTCAGTCGCTTCTAGATACATCTGCCAGCTTCTTTCTCACTGTCCCATGCAGGCTTTCCTACAAACATGCCTCCCGGAGCCCACCCTGCCCACCACTCCTGAGCCATGACCCTGGACTGAGCTTCCCGCTGTTTGCTTGCTTGCTTGCTTGCTTGCTTATTTGCAGTGCATGCATAGAACCAGGCCCTTGTGCATGCTGAATAAGCACACTAGAATGAGCTACATCTCCAGCCTAGGTTACGTGTTAACTTCCTACCTCTCTGGGGACAAGCCTCTGGGCTCTTGTATCCCACACTGGCTTCCCTTGTCGGAGTTGGAACACAGACACCATCCAGGCAGTGAGATGACATAGGACTGCCTACCCTACCTCCATCAGTGCCCGGTCCTGTTGGGTCACACCCAGCAAATGCAGGTTCCCCAGGAACGGCAGAGGGCGAGGCCCAGGGGGCCACCGAGGGGCCAGGGTGCGATGCTGGGCATAGCCCCGGAGCAGCCCCCATAGCCCCAGAAGCAGCAAGATCCCCGAGACACCCAGGAGCAGCAGAGTCATGTGAACAGCTGAGCTGAGCAAACCCTCAGCTCTCCAGGGGCCCCGTGATCCCCGTGCCTTATAGCCATCCTCCCCAGGGCGTGCCGGCACCCCACCCACCCCACCACCCCGAGAATGTGGAATGAGCAGTTCGCAGGGTACAGCCCAGCATGAGACTTAAAGCTACAGGCTGTGTGAAATGTGGGGTCGCCTCTGTGGTAGGGAACCTGGGGTTGGAGCCAAAAGAACCTCTGTAGGAGGTGCAGAGCCGAGGCTTTTTGGTCACAGGTTGTCCAAGTCTGGACCATTCAGGGTCAAGCTTCCAAGATGTCCACACCCTTCCGTGTGCCCCCAGGTTCCAGTGAAATGGTCAAAGTCCATTGTCTTCTCTGTCCTTAGTTCTCTGGGAACCTGTTAGTTCTACGTGGTCTTCTCATCAAAGTGGAACTTGTGGGTTTGGGGACTGCTTCCTCATTCTGAAGAGTCTCTTGAGTCATCAGATTGGAGCCTCCAGAAGCAGGACCTCTATCTAACAATGAATGCCCTGTGCAGCCATTAAGGGCCTCAAAGCCAACGGCCTTCAGAAGCAGTCAGAGTCTTCAGAAGCCAAGGGAGCTCACTCCACAGCCTGCAGAAAGGGGCAGGGCCACCCAGACACTGAGAGGCCATCCAGCAGACTGTGTACAGACACAGCAGGTGGCCAGGTTTACAGCCCCAACTGTCTGGGCCTTAAGCCTGCCTCTTAAACCCTGGTGGCCTCACTGGGGAGGAGGTGCCCCGTGAGATAGGATTGTGCGGGGCGGGTGACTTTTGGCACCAGAAGTAGCTGGGCTGCTTCCTTTCCACAGCCTGCCTCAACATGAGGCACCTGGAGTCTCCCCCCACCCCCCGCCCCGACCTCCAGTAGGGCCCCTCACCATGGGGCCTGCCCCCTGGGGTGTCATCCACACCCTGCACAAATGCTGAGCTGAAGCAGAAGCCATCCCTGCTTCCTGCACCCAGGTCTTGCTCCCCTGTATGACTTGTGGAGCAAAGCTCACCTAGACTGCATCTCACCTGCATTGTGACCCTAGCACCTCTATTCCCTGGAACAGCATGAGCCTGGGTTGGGACAGTTCCTTGTCACCACTGTAGATGTCTGGGCCATGCTTCAACTGTTGCCAAAGCCACTTAACTGGGCATCCAAGGCAGGGATCCAACCCAACCAGGGAAATCTGCATAATTGCTGCAGGGAGCACTTACTGAGCACTCACATGTGCCAGCCTTGGCCGGGAGTCAGGGCTGTGGAAATCAGAGGCAGAGGGATCAGCGGGACCGTGCCATCACAATTCCAGGGCAAGACTGGTGTAACTCCGTTTGCCATTGACCGTGCATTGTTGGAGGTGGGGGACGTCAAGGCAGATGGTGTTTTATGGAGTCTGTACTGCAGCTGAGATTTGCCTGACTGTCAGAGACAATGTGATGTGGAATAGATGTAGAGAAGCCAGTCAGGCTGGGCCAGGAGAGGTGTCAGGGTGGTCGGGGCTGGAGTCTGCAACCCCTCCAGGAGCAGACATGAGCTCACTGCCAGCATGAGAGTCCCTAAAGATCCACAGGTCACCCCAAAGTTGCCTGGGTGAGTAAAGTGATCTGATGTCCAGGCTTATGTGAGCATCTCCTTCCGGAGACCCTAGAGGAAGGCTGGGGCATCCATGCTTGTTTGTGCCATGACTGGTGTGGCCTAAATCCTCCTGCTTCTTCCTCCCAAGGGCTGGAATTATGGGCAACACTACCCAGCTAGCTTGAGCGCTATTTAGGGGAAGGATTTTTGTTGTTGTTTATTTGATAAAGGATTTTCACCACTCAAGTATCTCAGGCTGGCCTTAAATTCACTACGTGACTGAGGCTGACCTTGAACTCTTAATCCTCCAGCCTCTCCTTCCCTAGGTTTAGATTGTTAGTGTGCACCCATGCCCAGTTGAAAGAGTCTGTGTGTGTGTTGTGTGTCCACATGTACATGTTCATGTGTGTGATTGTAAGTACATATGTGCCACAGCATGTGTGTAGAGGTCGAAGGATGACCTCTGGTGTCAATTCTCACCTTCCACCTTATTGAGACAGTCTCTTTTTTGCAGCTGCATATGACAGATTAGCTGGCCCGAGGGCTTCTGGGATTTCTCCCATTCTCACCTCTGGTCTCGCTGTAGGAGCACTGGGATTACACCCGTGGAAGGTACCACATCCATTTTTACATAGAATCTAGGAATCCTCAAACTTGCACAGTGAGCATCTTAGCCCCTGAGCCATCTCCCAAGCCCTGCCTCGTGTATCCAGACAGGATCTCTCGCTGGCCTGGAGCTCACCGGTTCCGCTAGACTGGCTGCCCAGCTAGTCAGCAGAGGTTGTCCTGTCCCGGCCTTCTCAGTGCTGTGACAATGAGTGCATACCACATGCTTTCACCCAGCTTTACATGGGTTTGGGAATAGAAAACAAGTCTTCATGGGTACCCCCACACACACTTACAATGTTATCAACACACACGAATCCACATGTGTAGTGCACACAAATTCACGTGTATAGCACACACAAATCCACATGCATAGCGTACACAAGTCCACATGCTTAGCACACACAAATCCACATGACAGCACACACAAATCCACATGCATAGCACACACAATCTGGGCTGCAGCTAGGTACAGTTTAGCAGCAGATCACTCACTGAGCATGCACCAGGCCCAGGGCTCCACCCACCAGAGCTGAGAACAAAAAAGGTGGGGAGAGGGATTTTAAACAGATTCGGATGTGTTTTGGCATGTGTCTGGGCCCTTACCGCGATTAAACTAGCAAGTATCAGTCACCTTGCAGTTTCCTTGAGCCCGGTGTGTCCCTCAATTCATCATACATTAATGCTGTTTTTTAACATGACTGTGTACCCAGAATTAGACACGGGCCTCCTCTGCTGGGCTGGGCACGGTGGGCGTGAACATTCATGTTCCTAGCCTGCAGCAGAGTGAAAAGCAGGGTAAAGCAGAGGGAGGTGGGCACACCTGCGATCCCAGCACTGGGGAGGCGAAGGTAGGAGGATCGCGAGCTCTGAGCCAGCTTGGCCTGTACAGTGAGACTTGGTACTGTGCACACCTGCAAGAGATGTTGCAGAGTAGATTCTGAGCAAAGGGATGGATGCCTGCATCAAGGTGCAGGGTTTGTTGTCTTTTCTTGTGGAGGTTGGATTCAAACCCAGGGTCTTGTTAGACAAGCGCTCTGCTACTGTGGCACATTCTCAGCCCCTCACTGGGGGCTTCCAGGCAGGTGCTCAATGAATGAAAAAAAAATATCAAAAGGACATGACTGCCTCTAGGTCATGCTGGAGAAGGTTTATTGTAGATAGGAGGGAGAGCATAGCCAGAGACAGGGACATCTAGGAGCATCCATGATCCTGAGCTAGGCAATGTGAGGGGTTAGAGGAGAGGGGATAGGGGAGAGCCAGGAGAGGAAAGGGTAGGTAGGCAAAAAGAGCCAGGTTGTTGGGTGGTGGTGGCGCATGCCTTTAATTCCAGCACTCGGGAGGCAGAGGAGGTAGGCAGATCTCTGTGAGTTCGAAGCCAACCTGGTCTGCAGTGCGAGTGCCAGGGAAGGCTCCAAAGCTACACAGAGAAACCCTGTCTCAAGGAAAACAAAAACAAAACAAAAAGAAAAGGAAGAAAGAAAAAAGCAAAGCAAAGAAAAAGAACCAGGTCATCAAAATCGCTGGATTATCTAAGTTAGGGCAGCTGAGGGAAGGGCATCCCAACCCCTAGGCTGGAGAAATTTGGGGTGGGAGTCAGCTATATGCTCTGTCACAGGTAGGGACTGAGGAATATTGGGAGAACCTGGTGGCCAGGTCCGTTTTGATATGTTAAATAGGCACCTTGAATTACATCCCACTTCCAAGGTTTTGAGACAGAGTCTATGTGTAGTTCAGGTTGACCATTAACTCCTCCCCCCAAGAGTGCTGGCTGGCATGGTAGGCACTGTCATGCCTGTAGCTGTTCTTTTTTTTTCCTTCAGTGCTGGGGATTAAATCTTAGTCTTACTACGCTACATCTCCAGCCCCGGGCTGTTCCCTTTTTAAGTTTTTATGGAATTTCCCCCACACCCTGCAAAGGTGTGGCGCCAACTGTCTCCAGCACGGTTGCTCAATCCACCCAGGGTCTGTTCTCATCAGACTTACTTGGGGCCAGGCTGACAGTTGCCCTGAGCAATCGTGTGTGCAGAGCTCTGATTCCCGGCTCAGGTTCCATCTGGCCTTGACCTGATGGGGAGGTGGGTGAGTATCCACCAAAGATGGCCACGCAAGATGCTCCCGATTGTATGTCCTTCATGTAATACGATGTTGTGTTGGTATGAGAAAGGTCGGAAGGGGTCTGTATTTCCCACACTTGGCTCTAGAGGCACTGTGGGGGATACTGGGAGGAAACCTGGGTGACCTGGAAGAACCTAAGTGTAGAACACAGTCGAAGGACACAGCCACACTCCGGTCGTCGGTCTGAGTGGGCTGCTGTAGTACAACATCAGGTCAAAGCTGGGAGTTCTGTTGCCACTTTTCAGACACATAAACTGAAAGTTATATATTAAAAAAGAAACATCTCAGGGCTGGACAGATGGCTTCCTTGGTAAAGTACTTGCCGTTGCAAGCATGGCGACCTGGGTTTAGATCCCCAGCATCCTTAGGAAAGCCAAATGCTTGGTACATGATATTCAGTTGGCTCTCCAGCTCGGCCCAATTCTCTCTCCAAACCCTGCCCTCTCATAAGGGCTGCTAGGAGTCCAGTTCCACATTCCCAGTGGCGTGGCTCCTCCCGCTAGGCTGCTAGCTTCTCAAACCCCCACCTACCATGATTGGGAACAAACCCAGTTTGTGGAGGACTAGTCAGCATTCCCAACCTACATGGTATTTAAGCCCTCTCCTTCTATGTGATAGGCTATGTGATTTTTCTCCTGTCCCTTCCCCCGCCCAGATCTCTGGCAGAGATCTCAGAGGTGAGCCAGAGGACTCACCCGGGAGTTGCTTTGCTTGAATATATCTGATCTTTTACTTTTTAATTTGGCTTGATCTGCCTTACTGCGTCGGCAGAGAAACCTGTTGGGGGGTATGGAAAACCTATAACCTGAGCATTCCCAATGATGACCAGTCAGACTAGCAGATCCTTGGGGTTTACTGGCTAGCCAGTCTCCTGAATTAGGATGCTCCAGAGTCAGTGAGAGATTCTGTCTCAAAAGATGGGGAAATGGCTTAGTAAGTAAGGGTGCTTGCTACACAATCATGAGGGTTTGAGTTTGAACTGCTAGCATCCACATAAAAAGTCAGGCATGGCTGCACATGTCAGTAACCCCAGCACTGACTGTGGGAGGGACATAGACAAGTGGATCTTGAGAGCTTGTTAGCCAACCAGCTTTGCCAAAAAAATGTTGAGCTTCCAATTCAGGGAGAGACCCCACCTTAAAGCAATATGGAAGAAGATGCTTAGCATCCTGCTCGGGCCTACACAGGTGTATCCAACTACACACACACACACACACACACACACCTCCCTCAGCTAAATAGTTGGGTGTCCTGGTGCATACCTGTGAACACAACACTTAGGAGGGAGATCTCAGTGAGTTTGAGGCCAGCCAGAGCTACAAACAACAACCAAAAAAGCTCCTACAAGGCAGTACCCATTTCCTAGGAATGCGGATTAAAAGCTTGCTGTCACAGCCCAGACACCAGTCCCTGCCTGTTTTCTTGGTATTTCAGGGTTGCCTGACCGAGGTCCTGCGACCTCAGGGATAGAGATGGCCTTTATTTTAAAGCAGAAAGGGCTGCTTGCTTAGTCATAAAGTCACCATTCTTCACAGCTAAAGAAAAAAAAAAAAAAGACTAACTCAGTGTTAGTCTGGTTCCAGGCATGGGAGAGATGGGAAAGGGTTGTTTATATGACAAGAACAATTTTCCTTCTGGAGTCTCCCTGCTTGTGCTCTGTGTGTGTGTGTGTGTGTGTGTGTGTGTGTGTGTGTGTGTGTGCGCGCGCGCGTGTGCACGTGTGTGTGGCATATGTGTACATATGTGTGTATGTGTGTACCCCATGTCAGGCGTCCTGTCCACCTTATCCCCTTGTGACAAGTTGTTTGCTGACCCTGGAGCTAGGCTGGCAGTCAGCACGCCCCAACCCCTTACAGTGACAGTGTTGGCATTTTAGGCCGGGTGACTTTTTTTTTCTTTTTTTATGGGCTCTAAAGATTTGAACTCAGGTTCTCATGCTTGTATAGCAAATACTCTTGCCTGTTAAGCCACCTCCCCAGGCCTCTTCCTGAGAGGTAAACTGAACTAGGAGGTTTGGGTTAATGAGGTGGTACCCCTCTGCAAGGCAGTCTATATGTCTGGACACTGGAAGCTACATCCAAACTCCCACACAGGAAGCCAGCATGAGATTCAGCAAGGAGACCAATGGATGGCTATGGAGGAGGGGGGTCCAGCAAGGTAAAAAGGGGTGGGCGCTGGGGTGAGGCTAAAGATCTGTTGGCCAACCACCTCTCTGCAACCCCTGAGAATTATTAGTGATGTTGGGATCTATCAGAGGATTGTAGAGGGTCAGCAGCTCCTTGGGGCTGCTGGGAGCCCACTGATGCTCATTGCCAGAGTCTGGATGGCTGTGTGACACAGAGACCATCTGTGGTTGAGATGGAATGATGGACAGCATCCCACAATCACAGCCAGTGTTGGGAGGCAGGGAGCAAGTGGTCTTCTCTGTCAGCTGGAAAGCAGGGTTCTGGGGACAGGTGTTCTTGCTATAACAAGTCAGTTGACTGCATCCCATTACCACGTAACATTCCTTCCAAATCCACACGGCACAGTCCCAAGTCCCCAGGACCTGATGACCTCATCTGAAATAATGTCACGGCAGATTTTGAGCAGCTGAGGCTGAAATTTTTCCGATGAGGTGAGCATGGTGGTTAACACCTTTAATCTCAGCACTCAAGAGGCAGAGACAGGCAGCTCTCTGAATTTGAGGCCAGCCTGGTCTACAGAGAGAGTTCCAGGACAGCCAGGGCTATTATTGGGATGGCCCTACTCCTATGTGGTAGTGGCCTCATATAAGGAGTGGTTGGACACAGACACATGGTGAGAACACCACCAGAAGTGGAGGCCCAGGAGAAGCATTGCTTTTAGCAATCCAGATTTCCCCAAGATTGACAGAATACCCCAGAGGCTGCGTCTGCGTGGGGGACAACCTGGACTCCCTGGAGCAGGCAGCAGGGACAGCAGCCCACAATGGGGCTAATGGCCCACACCTAAAGCTCAGACATCCAGTCTCTTGAACCATAGAAGACGCCATTTCGGGCAGTTTTGTTTTGTGAGACTTGAGTAGTGTAGCCCAGGTTTGCCTAAAAGTCTGGCAATCCTCCTCCCTCAGCCTCCCCAGTTGGGACTACAGGTGTGAAGCACTATACCCTGCCTTAATTTCTAACTGTAAAACCCGTTTGTGGAATTGTGTCGCCACACCCACAGGAAGCTAGCCACTCCCTCCTTTTGTGTGTTTCTTGCCTTGATTAGACCCTCTGCGCATATGGGAAACTCAGTTCCTGGCAGACAACTGGATGGGATGAAGAACCCGGGGCACAAACTGGTGTCCTCGGGCAAAGGGCTGCACCTATCCGGCCTTGTTTGCTCTTTGGTAACAAAAGCTGGCAGGACTTTTGCAGAGAGAGGGACTGAAAATCTCCTGATTGCGGCCACCACTGCGCCCTATCAGAGCACAGCGGGGGCGGGGCCTAGACGGGTAGGGGCGGGGCCTAGACGGGTAGGGGCGGGGCCTAGACGGGAGGAGCGGGCAGGGTGGGGAGGGGCAGGCCCACCGCTCGACCAGCTCGGCACTTCCCTGGCCTGCTCGGTGCTCGGCCGTCCGCCCTGCGTTGCCGCTGCGCACTGCTCTTGATTCCGCCGTCATGTCGACCGCAATGAACTTCGGGACCAAAAGCTTCCAGCCGCGACCCCCAGACAAAGGAAGCTTCCCGTTGGACCACTTCGGTGAGGCGAGGCGAGGCGAGGCGAGGCTCAGGCTACCGGTGGCCCGAGATTGGTTGGCAGGGTTAGGGGTATTCAGTCTAGGTGGCAGCGTCTGGGGTGCTGAGTCTGATTAGTAGGGTCTGGAATGTTGTTTCTCGGTGACAGGTGACAGGGGTATTGGATGTGGGTGGCAAGGTCAGGAATACTGGTTCTGGATAGCAGGGTCAGCGGCGCTGGAATTGGGTGACTGGGTTGGGGGTGCTGGATCTGGATTTAGGCTCTCAGTCTGGGTGGCAGAGTCTGGAGTGCTGTTTCTCTGTGATAGATGGCAGGTTCAGGGGTACTGGATCCCGGGGGCAGGGCCTGGGATGCTAGATCTGGGTGCTAGGGTCAGAGGTGCTGGATTTAGGTGCACTGTCTGAGAAGTTAGATGTGCATGACAGAGATGGGGTACTGAGAACCAGGATGTGGGGTGCTGGATCGACCTCAGTGGCGGAGTCAGGTCTATTGGATTTGGGTACCAGGACCTGGGACGCTAGATCTGGTGGGTGGAGTCTGAGGTACTGGACCTAGGAGTGCAGAGTAGTTAGAGCTCCAGCGACCTCTCAGATTGTGTGGTTGGGGATGCTCAGAGCCCTTTGTGGGTGCAAGCAGGGAAACTGAGTCTTGAGAATTCCTACTTCAGAGAGCCACCTGTCATGGCATGGTCCTTCCAACTGAGAGCTCAGACTTGGATCTTATGTAACCAGGATGGTGACGGGACTCTCGGAATACTACCGGGACTCGATGTTAGGCTTCCCTGTTGCCAGCCCAGGAGCCACCCTCACTCCCCAGCTTGAGGCTCTGGGTCTTCAGTGAACATTAGGCAAAGAAATATTTTCAAAAAGCGTTTTGATATCTAATATTGGGGCTGGAACCCGGACTTGGCACATGCTGGCAAGTGCTCCACCTCTGAGATGTGGCTCCAGCCCAGAGGATTGCCATTCACAGTACTGAAGTCTACAGATAATGTCCTTTTGGAAAACTGGAGCCTGTGAAGGAAAAAAACCAAAAATAACCCGGAGAGGGTTGGGAATAGTCTCATGAACAAGGGCCTAGCAGGCACAGAAACAGAGGCCCTGAGTTCAGTCTTTAGCTCTAAGAAAAAAGGAAAGAAAGAAAAAAGAAAGAAAGAAAGAAAGAAAGAAAAGAGAAGAAAAATAAGAAGAAAACAAACAAACCAAAAAAAAAAGCCCCAAACCTACCACAAACAGAAACAACCCTACAAAATGCTGTTGACGCTGTGATGTTCCAGAGACAGCTTTAAAGATTATTGTATTTTTAAATTATATTTATTTATTTAGTGTGTTTGAGGGTGTGCCATGGCACACATGTGGCCAAAGGATAACTTGTGGAAGCAGGGGCGTGTCTCTTTCTACCACATGGGTTTTGGAGATCAAGCTCACGTTGGCAGTCTTGGTAGCAAGTACCTTTGACCACTGAGCCATCTAATCTCCTTAGATTATTTCTTTACCAACATTTCTTTGGGGAATTTTCCATTTTTAAAATTTATTTAAAAAATTTTTAACTTTATGTGTATGTGTGTGCATCTGAGTGGATACGTGTGCATCAGAGTGGATGCGCGTGCATCTGAGTCTATGCATGTGCATCAGAGTGGATGCGTGTGCATCTGAGTCTATGCGCGTGCATCAGAGTGGATGCATGTGCATCAGAGTGTATACATGATGTGTGTGTACCCTTGGTGACCAGAAGAAGGTGTTTGATCCCTTGGAGCTGGAGTTGCAGGCATTTGTTACCTGCCCAATGTGGGTGCTGGGAACCAAACTCATTTCCTGTACAAGAGCAGCCGGTGTTCATACCAGTGAGCCATCTCTTCACTCCTTGTTTTGTGTTTTGTTTTGAAGTGATGGGGATTGAACCCAGGGGACTGTATTCCAAGCATGCACTCTATCCCACATCCAGAGCCCAGGAAGGAAATGAATTTTGATGGAAACCATAGCAAGGCCGCCGAGTGAGCCGGTCAGGCCTTCTCTTTGCAAACAGGACACTGTGTTCCTTTTCTTTCTAGGTGAATGTAAAAGCTTTAAAGAAAAATTCATGAAGTGTCTCCGCGACAAGAATTTTGAAAATGCTTTGTGCAGAAATGAATCTAAAGAGTATTTAATGTGCAGGATGCAAAGGCGAGTACCACCATCACATTCGGACCTGAGTTCTGATCCCTCGGTGTGTGTCTGGGTGTTGTGAACCACCATATGGGTGCTGGGAGCTGAGCCCTGGTCCTCTGAACGAGCAGCAAGCAAGAGACGCTGAGCCATCTCCCCAGTTCCCACTGTAGTTTTTGAGACAAGGTCTGTTGCTGGCCTGGAGTTTACTAATTAGGTTAGGCTGGCCATAGGCAAGCCAACGGATCTTCCCATTCCTGCCTGCCAGTGCTGGGACTGTAAACATACCAGCACACGCAGCTTTCTTCATGTGGGTTCTTGGGAAAGAACTCAGGTCTGTTTTATCTTCCCAGCCACATCCCAGTGGCCGATGTTTGCTGGAAGAAGTCACAGCTTAGCAGGTGAGGTGGCATGGAGGCTGCCAAGCTGCCCTGGGAACCCCTTTGTGAGTGACAGCCCCGTCCACGGCCCCATTCCTCCGAGCTTTGTCCCTCTCATTAAGTTTTCAGAATCGTCCATCACAGCAGCGCTGACTGAGCCAACAGGTTTTCATGCCTTTCACGATCTCAGCCCGTAAGAACAAGCATTGCCTCGTTCCTTCCCTTGAAAGCTGTTTGGAATGTAACGGGCACAATAGGAGACTTAAGCAATGATGGATGGCGATGCCTGCACTCCCCCAAGTTTAAACAGAACAAAAATAGTGCTCCGTGGAGCTTTGCATTAGAATGAGAGCCGTTCTAGCCATGAGCATGAAGAAGCAGGTAGTGTGTCACTGCCCAGGGGAGGGGTCTGTTGCAGTTGCACACACAGGAATTCAGGCACCTTAGTCGCTAAGGTGCGAGATGCCAGTGGTCCACTTAAGCCTGCTTTCTTTGCTCGACAAACCCAGACAAGTCCCTGAGGTGTAGGCATGTGGGGGTTACAGTCTGGGGGGTTTTGACTCTGGCAGTGGGGACAACCAACTGTTAGGCCTTGTCCTGACACTGCAAACAGTGCTTGAGTCTGTCCTGATCTCGCTGCCTCCAGGTGGCACATGGCCGCCACAGAGCCTCTGGGTGACTGCCTGTAGCCTCAGAAGGTGGCCAAGAATTTCTTCTTGGCTCTGCTGAGCTTTAGAAGAGGGACCAGAGTGACACCAGCCTGGGGATAAGGATGTGAGCAGGCTCCTGCTTTCCCCTGGCTCAGCCCCTATGTCTTGGTGTCTGCAGAAGGAGAGGTTTTCACAGACAAGCTGGGCAAATGCAGCAAATGAGGTCAATACTGGGGCCCGTAACTCAGGCCTGTCATGCCTTCGGCCCAAGAGGCTGAGGCAGGAGGATGGAGAGTTTGAGGTCAGCCTGGGCTAGAGAATGAGTTCAAGAACCATCTGGAGGGCTGGAGAGATGGCTCAGAGGTTAAGAGCACTGGCTGCTTTTCCAGAGGTCCCGAGTTGAAGTCCCAGCAACCACATGGTGGCTCACAATAGTCTATAATGGGATTTGGTGCCCTCTTCTGGTGCATAGGCATACATGCCAGAACATTGGATACATAATAAATAAATCTTACAAAAATAAAATCAAACATTTAAAAAAAATCTGGGAAATTTATTAAGATCCTATCTTGCCGGGCAGTGGTGGTGCACGCCTTTAATCCCAGCACTTGGGAGGCAGAGGCAGGTGAATCTCTGTGAGTTCAAGGCCAGCCTGGTCTATAAGAGCTAGTTCCAGGACAGGCTTCAAAGCCACAGAGAAACCCTGTCTCGAAAAAAAGAAATCCTATCTCAAAATAATGAGAAAAAACAGGGGTGAGGATATAGGTCAGTGGTAGAGCCCCTGCCTAGAATCCCCCAGTGAGGGGCTGGGGTGTGGATCAGTGGTAGAGCCCCTGCCTAGAATCCCCCAGTGAGGGGCTGGGGTGTAGATCAGTGGTAGAGCCCCTGCCTAGAATCCCCCAGTGAGGGGCTGGGGTGTAGATCAGTGGTAGAGCTCCTGCCTACAATCCCCCAGTGAGGAGCTAGGGTGTGGCTCAGTGGTAGAGCGCCTGTCCAGAATCCCCCAGTGAGGGACTGGGGTGTGACTCAGTAGTAATACATTTCAGAGTATGTGTGGCCCCAGATTCTACCCACAGTATTCCCCCTGCCAAAAAAGAAAAAAGTTGAGCAGACTTGTTTTGACTCTCACACCTGGCACAGATCATAGTGTCTCCTACCTATCATTGTTCTGATGATGTGGCTGGTTTGGGGTCCCCTGGGGAAGCAACTGGTCTATGGGCAAGGCTTCTGGGCAGGACAAGCAGAGGGACTTCTTGTCTGTTGTCAGTGGGATGAACTAGTTTTGGACTTCCTAGTCTCCATGCATCTGTGCCATACTTAGCACTGTGTAGAACAGGTGCCTTAGAGCCCAGAAGGAAGGGCCCGCCCACTTCTGTGACTTACAGGGACCTGAGCTAGGCAGTGCAGGCAAACAAAGATGCTTCTGGTTTTGTTTTGTGGTGGAAAGATTTTTTTGTTTTGTTTTTTTTTTTGTTTGGTTGGTGGGTTTGGATTTTTTTTTTTTTTAATTCTCTAGACAAGGTCTAATAGCACAAGCTAGCTTAGAACTTCTGGCAGTCCTCCTGCCTCAGCCTCCTGAGTGTTAGGATGGTGGGTGTATCAGGTGTATGGCACCATGCTTGTCCTCCTGCCTCAGCCTCCTGAGTGTTAGGATGGTGGGTGTATCAGGTGTATGGCACCATGCTTGGCTGGTCCATTATTTTGTTAGGTTAGTTGGGAATGAAATCGTCGGACATACAGTTCAAGCTGACCTAGCATGTGTGCGCACACACACACACACACACACACACACACACACACACACACAAATGCATAAATCAATTAAAATTAAACGCTGGGCAGTAATGGCACATACCTTTAATCAAGGCACTAGGGAGGCAGAGGCAGGTGGATCTCTGTGAGATTAAGGTCAGCCTAGTCTGTAGAGAAAGTTTCAAGACAGTCAGAACAACACAGAGAAACCTTGTCTTGAAAAACAAAGATTAGGCGCCGGTGAGATGGCTCAGAGGATAAGAACACTGGCTACTCTTCCAGAGGTCATGAGTTCAATTCCCAGCAACCACATGGTGGCTCACAACCATCTGTAATGAGATCTGGTGCCCTCTTCTGGCCCACAGGGATACATGCAGGCAGAATATTAAAAAAAAGAAAAAGATTAAATAAAAATTAAATTGAAGTAGCCCTCCTTAGGCCTCATGGGCTTGGGTAACCTCAGGGGCTGGCCTCTGCAGCCCAGCCTTGACCTTACAGCCCTCCTGCCCCCACTCCAGAGGCAAAGGTGACTGGAGGATGTGAAAATCCTGCACAGTGTGTCTGGAGTGAGGGGGGCTGGGACAGGCAGTCGGGGCTGAGCCCTCAGGAAGGCACCAGAGCGCTGCAAACATTTTTCCCTTAGGTTTCCCTTAGGAGACAGAGGCACATTGGAAGCATTCCTTTGGCTGTGTGTGTGTTTTGTACGCCCTGGGTTTTGTTTTTCAGAGGCCACCCTTCCCACTCTTGGAGACAAAGTCTCGCCAGCCTGGAGCTCACTGATCAGCCCTTCTCTTCCTACCCCTGGTCCTACTCAACTATGGGGACACTTACCTAGCCTCGGCTCTCCCAGGCTCTGCTCACCCCCATGGAGTCATGTACTATCTGCGTCTACCTACATCCTCAGCCCCACCCTTGAGAACTTGGGCTGATCGTGTGGCTAGAAGGGACACTGGGGCTCACATGGCCTGTGGGCTCCTCACGCTGTGGGGAGGACCCTGTTCTCTGGGTCTTTTTCTGTTTTAAAATGGGGTGCGGGAGGCTGGGTAGATGAGTGAACATAAGAGCATGGTCCCATGGCAGCGTCTTTCTCTTCCAGGCAGCTGATGGCCCCAGAGCCACTGGAGAAACTGGGCTTCAGAGATGTGATGGACGAGAAGCCAGAGACCAAGGACAAATGCTGAGAAGAAAACCACAGGGCCGGCTCCCCAGCTGCCTGAAGCAGATCCGAGCCCTTCTGCCCACAGGGCCGGGAGACCCGAGGCTCACCTGTGCTGCTCAGTGGAGGGAGTCCCCAAGGGGACTGGAGAACACCCCCAAATGCTTCTTCACCTGTCCTCAGTTTCCCTTCAGACAGTGGTCTTATTCTTCCATCTGTGTATGTCACAGGATTCCCTCAGGGCCGAACTCCGATGTGATATCCTGCCCAGTGTGGCCGTCACACCATAGAGCCCCGGACAGCTTTCCACAGACGCAGCCTGTCACAGACCTGGGTCTCCATACTAGAACGTGTCAGTGAAACCATGTGACGGCAGAATGTCCGCCCTTCGTGCTCACAGATGCACACATACCAGCTCTGTTCTTTTCTTTGAACCAAACTGGAATACAAAGTAGGAAGTGGGAAACTGACTTTTGACGTATTTGACTTCTTGTTTTGTGTGTTTTAAGGCTTGGTGTCCTGTAGCCCAAGCTGGCCTCAAGCTCCCTATGTAGCCAAGAATGACCTTGAACTCCTGATCCTTCTGCCTCCACCTCTAAGATGCCATGATTACGGGTGTGCACATTGCACCTGGTTCATGTGTCCCCAGCACAGTACTTATTTTAAATTGCATATTATTTATTTAGGGGAGCGCTGACCCTGTGTGTGTGTGTGTGTGTGTGTGTGTGTGTGTGTGTGTGTGTAGGTCAAGGGAAAACTTACAGGGGTCGTTACTCTGCTTACACATGCGGGCCCCAGGGATTGAACCCTGTTCACCAGGCTTGGTGGATCTCATCAACTGAACTCCCTCATTTTTCTGGTATAGCAGTGGTGTCTTTATGCTGAGGGTTGTCTTCTGGTTGTTCCGAGCCGGTTTCCTTTCAGGAACCCACTGTGCACTTCCACAGGGCACACCGGCAGTGCACTAGAACCTGGGCTAGTGCCTGCTACTTTTCCACTTCTGCAGCCTGTTACAGTAACCCCGTGCTGGCTCGAGACCCCGGGTGCCAAACAGTGACCCTGTCATATGCGCAGTAAGCAGTGCTGAGCTGTGGGTGTTTGAACATCCAGGTGCCTTCATGCTGCGTCACCTGGCCGAGGGCTTTTGGCATGTGTAGGATCCAAAGATACCAGCAAAATACCAGTGCCAGATGCCACCAGGCTCAAATCCCCTTAGGGCTGTGTCTTCCTGGAGCTGTCGGAGAAGGGCTAGCCCAGACTGCTTGCCTGGCTTCTGTCTGACTGGTGAAAGGTGGTGAGAGGTGGGGGTTAGGGGTGCAGATGTGGTGGCGCACACCGTTAACACTCAAGAAGCAGAGGCAGGTGAATCTCTGAGTTCAAGACCAGCCTGATCTACCTAGTGAGTTCCAGGACAGCTAGGACTACATAAAGAAACGCTTTCTCAAAAACAAACAAATAAAAAACCACCTGGGGGGGGGCGAGGACTCTGCATGTTCATTGCATGTTCATGTTGGTCTCAGTGGATGTGACTGTCTGGGAGCCCCGTTTTCTGTTGCACACAGTCAGGTACCCCCAAGGTCTGCTTGTTTCCACATACTCGCTGAGCCCAGCCACACAGGGCAGGTCAGCAGCGACGGCACACTGCACATTTGGTGTGCCGTCACCCGTCAGCCTTGGTTTTATGGCTCAACAGTGTCACCATAGCATTGTGCATAATTACCAAGCTCACTCGCTGGAGTGCAGGATGCGTGTGTGAGCTGCAGGACAGGAGAGCTGCAGAGTGTTGCCTGCAGTGAATCCACACCAAGACCTAGACAGCCGCATCAGAGAATTTTGAGCTAGCCAGGTATGGTAGCACTCGGGAAGCAGAAGCAGGCTGATCTCTGAGTTTAAGGCCAGCTTGATCTACACAGTGAGTTCCAGGACAGCCAGGGCTACACAGAGAAACCCTGTCTGGAAAAATGAAGAATTCCGAGCTGACAGGGCACAGCCCCCGGCCATAGCACCCCCACTGAATGAGTAAAATCTGCTGTGTGTTTCAAAGGAAAAGGTGCAAGAGGCTATACAGCCGTCCACTGTAGAAACAAAGAAATCAGAGTAAACGGAATTGCATCAGCGAAGCAGGTCGATGAGCGCAGCATGGTGAACCTTGTAGCATTTTGACTATGAAGCACACTCAGAAGAGCCTGGCTATGGAGGACCCCTAACCACAGTAAGCCGAGCAGGCAGGATGGGCACAGAGACGCGGGCAGTGGCTCAGTTGGTAGAGTGCTGACCTGGTGTGTGCGAAGGCCTGCCTTCCGTCCCCAACATCACATAAACAGGCATGGTACGTGACTGCAATTCCAGCACTAGGAAAGCAAAGGCAAGAAGGTCAAAAATTCAAGGTCATCCTCGAAGTTCAAGGCCAGCATAAACAATGTGAGACCCAGTCTCTAAGTGGGAGGCTGCTGGGGGGTTGGGGGGGAGGCATGTGCATACATTTAGGTACTCACAATGTTTCCTGGTCTGGGAACCATGATGTCCCATGTCTGTGTCCTAATACTAGTGTCTCAGCAAACAAACAAACAAACAAAAACCAGGGTCCTGGCTACTGCAGGGAAAGGGCAAGGGAGCCTGAGGATCTATGCAGAATGCAGAGAGCTGCTGTAGAATGCGGGAGGCACCACAGTGGCGGCCTCAGACAAACCAAGCAGGAAAGCATGCAGTGGTCAGGCAAGCTCACCAGTGCAAGCCAACAGCCAGCATCCTTATTTGGTAAAGGGACCGGTTACATTAGGCCCTTGTTAGTTCTGACTAGCATAGGAAAAACAAAAACAAAAAACGGCCTAACAAACATGATAGTGTTGGTGACACAGACAAGAAGTCCACCAAAGTTAGCAGCAAATGGTGATGTCTGAGGTCTTCTAGAAATCTCTGCTCCAGACGGGCATCAATCACCAAGGGCAGTATGAAGGGACATTGCCAGGCCATGTTGGCGCACGCTCTCAATCTCAGCACTGCACTTGAGAGCTCTGAGTTTGAGGCCAGCCTGGTCTACAGAACGTGTTCTAGGATGATAGTCAGGGCTACACAGAGAAACCCTGTCTCGGAGAACAAAATAATAAAGGGACAGCACTTGGCCACATGGTCATCCTCAGATATTAGACATACGGAAGACATAGCATCTCTCTTGAACTGGCTTGCCCTGAAAGTACTCAGAAGTACTCAGAGTCTGAGCTCAAGGACGCAGACCGCTGCCTGCACTCATCCTGCCGAGGGAAAGGAATTGAGCAACTCTAGGGCTGAGCAGAAAGGACGTGAAGAGGTTGCGTCCTGTGTGTCTTGTCCAGAAGGAGCCCTGGGAGAGGTTTGAAGGCTGGGGACTTGGCTGTCATATGAGGTCTGTTCTGAGGTTATACAGTGTCCTTTTGACATTTGTGTGTGTGCATGGGCCAGTGTGCACATGTCAGAGGACGACAACAGTGTTGCTCCTCACATCCCATTCACCTGTGTGTGCATGTGTGTGCGTGTGCCTGTATTCATGTATGTAGAGGCCAGAGGAAGTCATCAGGTGTCTTGCCTCATTAGTCTCCGCCTTCCTCCATTGAAACAGGCTTTCACTAAAAGACTAGATTGGTGGTCAGTAAACCCCAGTGATTCGCGTCTCCAACTCCTGCAGGTCTACAGTTACAGACACATATGCAAACATGCCTAGTTTTTTGTTTTGTTTGTTTGTTTGCTTGCTTTTTTGTTTTTTTTTTTCTTTTGGTTTTCTTTTGTGAGACAAGATTTCTCTGGGTAGTTTTGGAACCTGTCCTGGAACTCCTTCTGTAGACCAGGCTGGCCTCGAACTCACAGAGATCCTCCTGCCTCTGTCTCCCAAGTGCTGGGATTAAAAGCATGCACCACCACTGCCCAGCTTGTTTGGTTGTTTTAGTAGGGTTCTAGGATCCAACGCAGGTCCTCATGACTGCATGGCAAGCACTCTGATGACTGAGTCATCTCCTTGGCCCTTTTGTTTTATTTATCTGAGAGAGGCTCTCACTCTGTAGCCAAGGCTGGCCTTGAACTCTGCCTCAGTCCCCCAAGTGCTGGGATTCAGATATATATCGCCATACCTGCAACATGCAGAGTTCCCAAGTTTTTGGTGCATCCCTGCTGGCAAATGACAGAATGAACAGCTGTGTCCCTAACAGTCACGAGCGGCCGAGTGTGAACATTCCGATGTGTACTAGTCCAATGGTTTAGGGGGGGGGGGCCCTCCACCCAAATTCCAAATAAATCACACAGAGGCTTATTCTTAACTGGAAATGCTTGGCCTTAGCTTGGCTTGTTTCTTGCCAACTTTGTTATTGTTGTTTTTAAAGATTTATTTATTATATGTAAAGTATTCTGTCTGCATGTATGACTCCAGGCCAGAAGAGGGCACTAGATCTCATTACAGATAATTGTGAGCCACCATGTGGTTGCTGGGAATTGAACTCGGAACCTCTGGAAGAGCAGTCAGTGCTCTTAGCCTCTGAGCCATCTCTCCAGCCCTTGCCAACTTTCTTTAACTTGTATTACCCCATCTACATTTGCCTCTGGGCTTTTCCTATTCTCTTACTTCTGTAAATCTGTGGCTACCGCCTCGACCAGCAAGGAAGATGCAACACCTGACTCTTCTTTCTGCAGTTTATTCAGGAACCTTGAACAATCTTCTGACCCCAGGGAAAGCCAGCCCACAGCTTAAATAGCCTCTGGGTAGCCAACCCCAGCATGCTACCTGGAAAATGCAGATAGGTCCAGAAACACGGAAGCAAGCCAGATCCTTAGCCTTAGCCATATATGGAGTTGTTTGCGACCAAGAGCACTCACCATCGGGGAGGTGGAAGGCAGAAACCAGCGCCATCTTTAAGGCGCAGCACTATGCAGCTCTCTACATAAATCTTACTCTTACTCCATGGATTGCTGTGTAACTGGATGGCTGGCTCTGAAGTCCTCCTCCTTCTCTGGCTACTTCTTCAGCCCAGATTTCTCCTGTATATTTGTCTGCCTGCCAACCCCACCCATCCTTTCTCCTGCCTCATTATTGGCCATTCAGACCTTTATTAGACCATCAGGTATTCTAGGCAGGCAAAGTAGCACAACTTCACAGAGTTAAGCGAAAGCAACATAAACAAAAGCAACAAACCTTAATATGATATTCCCTGACACTGGCGTGTCATGGTGGCTCCATCTGTGACTGCTCCACTGCCTGTCCATCTCCGCGGAGATGCAGGGCACATAGCATAGAAGCTTCAAAGGCTCCGGGGCTGGAGTTGGAGGATACTTGGTTCCGTCCTGGAATTTTCACAATTATGTTTTATAACAGGTGTGCATCATTTTTATAGAAACTATAAAATCCTTACTCAAAAGAACTTCCTGTGTTGAGTAGTATTTTACATCTTCTGTAAATCACAGGCCAGTTGTAATTTCTCATCCCCTGTGAATACCACCCAACCGATGA